GGAGAATGGGGCGGGGTGATGGAAAGCGGGAGACTGGGGAGGGGTGATGGAAAGCGGGAGAATGGGGCGGGTGATGGAAAGCAGGGAGACTGGGGTGGGGTGATGGAAAGCGGGAGAATGGGCGGGTGATGGAAAGCAGGAGAATGGGCGGGGTGATGGAAAGCGGAGAAGGGGCGGGTGACGGAAAGCGGGAGAATGGGGCGAGGTGATGGAAAGCGGGAGAATGGGGTGGGGTGATGGAAGGAGGGAGAATGGGGCAGGGTGATGGAAAGCAGGAGAATGGGGCGAGATGATGGGAAGCGGGAAAATGGGGCGGGGTAATGAAAAGCGGGAGAATGGTGCGGGGTGATGGAAAGCGGGAGAATGGGCGTGTGATGGAAAGCGGAGAATGGGGCGGGGTGATGGAAAGCGGGAGAATGGGGCGAGGTGATGGAAAGCGGGAGAATAAGGCGGGGTGATGGAAAGCGGGGAGAATGGGGTGGGGTGATGGAAATTGGGAGAATAGGGCGGGGCGATGGATGGAGGGAGAATGGGGCGGGGTCATGGAAGGAGGGAGAATGGGGCGGGGTGATGGAAAGCAGGAGAATGGGGAGGGGTGATGGAAAGCGGGCGAATGGTGCGGGGTGATGGAGAGCAGGAGAATAAGGCGGGGTGATGGAAAGCGGGAGAATGGGGTGGGGTGATGGAAGGAGGGAGAATCGGGCAGGGTGATGGAAAGCGGGAGAATGGGGCAGGTTGATGGAAAGTGGGAGAATGGGGCAGGGTGATGGAAAGCGGGAGAAAGGGGCGAGGTGATGGAAAGTGGTAGAATGGGGCGGGGTGATGGAAAGCGGGAGAATGGGGCGGGTTGATGGGAAGCTGGAGAATGGGGCGGGGTGATGGAAAGCGGGAATATGGGGTGGGGTGATGGAAAGCGGGAGAATGGGGTGGGGTGATGGAAAGCGGGAGAATGGGGCGGGGTGATGGAAAGCGGGAGAATGGGGCGGCTGATGGAAAGCTGGAGAATGGGGCGGGGTGATGGAAAGCGGGAATATGGGGTGGGGTGATGGAAAGCGGGAGAATGGGGTGGGGTGATGGAAAGCGGGAGAATGGGGCGGGGTGATGGAAAGCGGGAGAATGGGGCGGGTTATGGAAAGCTGGAGAATGGGGCGGGGTGATGGAAAGCGGTGGAATGGGCGGGCTGATAGAAAGCGGGAAAATGGGGCGAGGTGATGGAAGGAGGGAGAATGGGGCGGGATGATGGAAGGAGGGAGAATGGGGCAGGGCGATGGAAGGAGGGAGAATGGGGCGGGCTGACGGAAAGTGGGAGAATGTGGCTGGGTGATGGAAAGCGGGAGAATGCGGCGGGGTTATGGAAAGCGGGAGAATGGGGCGGGGTGATGGAAAGCGGGAGAATGAGGCGGGGTGATGGAAGGAGGGAGAATGGGGCGGGGTGATGGAAAGTGGGAGAATGGGGCGGGGTGATGGAAAGCGGGAGAATGGGCCGAGGTGATGGGAAGCGGGAGAATGGGGCAGGGTGATGGAAAGCGGGAGAATGGGGCGGGGTGATGGAAAGCGGGAGAATGGGGTGGAGTGATGGAAAGCGGGAGAATGGGGCGGGGTGATGGAAAGCGGGAGAATGGGGAGGGGTGATGGAAATCGGGAGAATGGGGCGGGGTGATGGAAACAGGGAGAATGGGGCGGGGTGATGGAAAGAGGGAGAATGGGGCGGGGTGATGGAAAGCGGGAGAATGGGGCGGGTTGATGGGAATCGGGAGACTGAGGCGGGGTGATGGAAAGCGGGAGAATGGGGCGGCTGATGGAAAGCTGGAGAATGGGGCGGGGTGATGGAAAGCGGGAATATGGGGTGGGGTGATGGAAAGCGGGAGAATGGGGTGGGGCGATGGAAAGCGGGAGAATGGGGCGGGGTGATGGAAAGCGGGAGAATGGGGCGGGTTATGGAAAGCTGGAGAATGGGGCGGGGTGATGGAAAGCGGTGGAATGGGCGGGCTGATAGAAAGCGGGAAAATGGGGCGAGGTGATGGAAGGAGGGAGAATGGGGCGGGATGATGGAAGGAGGGAGAATGGGACAGGGCGATGGAAGGAGGGAGAATGGGGCGGGCTGACGGAAAGTGGGAGAATGTGGCTGGGTGATGGAAAGCGGGAGAATGCGGCGGGGTTATGGAAAGCGGGAGAATGGGGCGGGGTGATGGAAAGCGGGAGAATGAGGCGGGGTGATGGAAGGAGGGAGAATGGGGCGGGGTGATGGAAAGTGGGAGAATGGGGCGGGGTGATGGAAAGCGGGAGAATGGGCCGATGTGATGGGAAGCGGGAGAATGGGGCAGGGTGATGGAAAGCGGGAGAATGGGGCGGGGTGATGGAAAGCGGGAGAATGGGGTGGAGTGATGGAAAGCGGGAGAATGGGGCGGGGTGATGGAAAGCGGGAGAATGGGGAGGGGTGATGGAAATCGGGAGAATGGGGCGGGGTGATGGAAACAGGGAGAATGGGGCGGGGTGATGGAAAGAGGGAGAATGGGGCGGGGTGATGGAAAGCGGGACAACGGGGCGGGGTGATGGAAAGAGGGAGAATGGGGCGCGGTGATGGAAAGCGGGAGAATGTGGCGGGTTGATGGAAAGGGGGAGAATGGGTCGGGGTGATGGAAAGCGGGAGAACGGAGCGGGGTGATGGAAAGCGGGAGAACGGGGCGGGGTGATGGAAAGAGGGAGAATGGGGCGGGGTGATGGAAAGCGGGAGAATGGGGCGGGGTGATGGAAAGCGGGAGAATGGGGCGGGGTGATGGAAAGCGGGAGAATGGGGCGGGGTGATGGAAAGCGGGAGAATGGGGCGGGGTGATGGAAAGCGGGAGAATAGGGCGGGGTGATGGAAAGAGGGAGAATAGGGAGGGGTGATGGAAAGAGGGAGAATAGGGCGGGGTGATGGAAAGCGGGAGAATGGAGCGGGGTGATGGAAAGAGGGAGAATGGGACGGGGTGATGGAATGCGGGAGAATGGGGCGGGGTGATGAAAAGCGGGAGAATGGGGCGGGGTGATGGAAAGCGAGAGAATGGGGCGGGGTGATGGAATGAGGGAGAATGGGCGGGGTGATGGAAAGCAGGAGAATGGGGCGGGGTGATGGAAAGCGCGAAAATGGGGCGGGGTGATGGAAAGCGGGAGAACGGGGCGGGATGATGGAAAGCGAGAGAATGGGGCAGGGTGATTGAAAGAAGGAGAATGGGGCGGGGTGATGGAAAGCGGGAGAATGGGGCGGGGTGATGGAAAAAGGGAGAATGGGGCGGGGTGTTAGAAATCGGGAGAATGGGGCGGGGTGATGGAAAGAGGGGAGGATGGGGTGGGGTGATGGAACGCAAAAGAATGGGGCGGGGTGATGGAAAGCGGGAGAATGGGGCGGGGTGATGGAAAGAGGGAGAATGGGGCGGGGTGATGGAAAGCGGGAGAATGGGGCGGGGTGATGGAAAGCGGGAGAATGGGGCGGGGTGATGGAAAGCGGGAGAATGGGGCGGGGTGATGGAAAGCGGGAGAATGGGGCGGGGTGATGGAAAGCGGGAGAATAGGGCGGGGTGATGGAAAGAGGGAGAATAGGGAGGGGTGATGGAAAGAGGGAGAATAGGGCGGGGTGATGGAAAGCGGGAGAATGGAGCGGGGTGATGGAAAGAGGGAGAATGGGGCGGGGTGATAGAAATCGGGAGAATGGGGCGGGGTGATGGAAAGAGGGGAGGAAAGGGTGGGGTGATGGAACGCAAAAGAATGGGGCGGGGTGATGGAAAGCGGGAGAATGGGACGGGGTGATGGAAAGCGGGAGAATTAGGTGGGGTGATGGATAGAGGGAGAATGGGGAAGGGTGATGGAAAGAGGGAGAATGGGGCGGGGTGATGGAAAGCTGGAGAATGGGGCGGGGTGATGGAAAGCGGGAGAATGGGGCGGGGTGATGGAAAGCAGGAGAATGGGGCGGGGTGATGGAAAGAGGCGAAAGAATGGGGCCGGGTGAAGGAAAGCGGGAGAATGGGGCGGGTGATCGAAAGAGGGAGAATGGGGCGGGGTAATGGAAAGCGGGAGAATGGGTCGGGTTGATGGAAAGCGGGAGAATGGGGCGGGGTGATGGAAAGTTGGAGAATGGGGCGGGGTGATGGAAAGCGGGAGAATGGGGCGGGGTGATGGAAAGCGGGAGAATGGGGCGGAGTGATGGAAAGCGGGAGAATGGGGCGGGGTGATGGAAAGAGGCGAGAGAATGGGGCGGGGTGATGGAAATCGGGAGAATGGGGCGGGGTGATGGAAAGAGGGAGAATGGGGCGGGGTGATAGAAAGAGGCAGGAGAATGGGACGGGGTGATGGAAAGAGGGAGAATGGGGCGGGGTGATGGAAACCGGGAGAATGGGGCGGGGTAATGGAAAGCAGGAGAATGGGGCGGGGTGATGGAAAGCGGGAGAATGGGGCGGGGTGATGGAAAGAGGGAGAATGGGGCGGGGTGATGGAAAGCAGGAGAATGGGGCGCGGTGATGGAATGCTGGAGAATGGGGCGGGATGATGGAAAGTGGGAGAACGGGGCGGGGTGATGGGAAGCGGGAGAATGGGGGCGGGGTGATGGAAAGCGGGAGAATGGGGCGCGGTGATGGAAAGCGGGAGATTGGGGCGGGGTGATGGAAAGAGGCAGGAGAATGGGACGGGGTGATGGAAAGCAGGAGAATAGGGTGGGGAGATGGAAAGCGGGAGAATGGGGCGGGGTGATGGAAAGAGGGAGAATGGGGCGGGGTGATGGAAAGCGGAAGAATGGGGCGGGGTGATGGGAAGCAGGACAATGGGGCGGGGTGATGGAAAGAGGGAGAATGGGGAGGGGTGATGGAAAGCGGGAGAATGGGGCGGGGTGATGGAAAGCAGGAGAATGGGGCGGGGTGATGCAAAGCGGGAGAATGGGGCGGCGTGATGGAAAGCGGGAGAATGGGGCGGGGTGATGGAAAGCGGGAGAATGGGGCGGGGTGATGGAAAGCGGGAGAATGGGGCGGGGTGATGGAAAGCGGGAGAATAGGGCGGGGTGATGGAAAGAGGGAGAATAGGGAGGGGTGATGGAAAGAGGGAGAATAGGGCGGGGTGATGGAAAGCGGGAGAATGGAGCGGGGTGATGGAAAGAGGGAGAATGGGACGGGGTGATGGAAAGTGGGAGAATGGGGCGGGGTGATGAAAAGCGGGAGAATGGGGTGGGGTGATGGAAAGCGAGAGAATGGGGCGGGGTGATGGAATGAGGGAGAATGGGGCGGGGTGATGGAAAGCAGGAGAATGGGGCGGGGTGATGGAAAGCGGGAAAATGGGGCGGGGTGATGGAAAGCGGGAGAACGGGGTGGGGTGATGGAAAGCGAGAGAATGGGGCGGGGTGACTGAAAGAGGGAGAATGGGGCGGGGTGATGGAAAGCGGGAGAATGGGGCGGGGTGATGGAAAGAGGGAGAATGGGGCGGGGTGATAGAAATCAGGAGAATGGGGCGGGATGATGGAAAGAGGGGAGGATGGGGTGGGGTGATGGAACGCAAAAGAATGGGGCGAGGTGATGGAAAGCGGGAGAATGGGACGGGGTGATGGAAAGCGGGAGAATTGGGCGGGGTGATGGATAGAGGGAGAATGGGGAAGGGTGATGGAAAGAGGGAGAATGGGGCAGGGTGATGGAAAGCTGGAGAATGGGGCGGGGTGATGGAAAGCGGGAGAATGGGGCGGGGTGATGGAAAGCAGGAGAATGGGGCGGGGTGATGGAAAGAGGCGAAAGAATGGGGCGGGGTGAAGGAAAGCGGGAGAATGGGGCGGGTGATCGAAAGAGGGAGAATGGGGCGGGGTGATGGAAAGCGGGAGAATGGGTCGGGTTGATGGAAAGCGGGAGAATGGGGCGGGGTGATGGAAAGTTGGAGAATGGGGGGGGGGTGATGGAAAGCGGGAGAATGGGGCGGGGTCATGGAAAGCGGGAGAATGGGGCGGAGTGATGGAAAGCGGGAGAATGGGGCGGGGTGATGGAAAGAGGCGAGAGAATGGGGCGGGGTGATGGAAATCGGGAGAATGGGGCGGGGTGATGGAAAGAGGGAGAATGGGGCGGGGTGATAGAAAGAGGTAGAATGGGGCAGAGTGATGTTGAGATGAAAGCAACTCTTTCATCAGATTGTGAGATGAAAGTAACTCTTTCATCAGATGGTGAGATGAAAGTACCTCTTTCATCAGATGTTGAGATGAAAGTACCTCTTTCATCAGATGGTGAGATCAAAGTAACTCTTTCATCAGATGGTGAGATGAAAGCAACTCTTTCATCAGATGGTGAGATGAAAGTAATTCTTTCATCAGATGGTGAGATGAAAGTACCTCTTTCATCAGATGGTGAGATGAAAGCAACTCTTTCATCAGATGGTGAGATGAAAGCAACTCTTTCTTAAGATGGTGAGATGAAAGTAACTCTTTCATCAGATGGTGAGATGAAAGCAACTCTTTCATCAGATGGTGAGATGAAAGTAACTCTTTCATCAGATGGTGAGATGAAAGTACCTCTTTCATCAGATGGTGAGATGAAAGTACCTCTTTCATCAGATGGTGAGATGAAAGTAACTCTTTTATCAGATGGTGAGATGAAAGTACCTCTTTCATCAGATGGTGAGATGAAAGTAATTCTTTCATCAGATAGTGAGATGAAAGTACCTCTTTTATCAGATGGTGAGATGAAAGTAACTCTTTCATCAGATGGTGAGATGAAAGTAACTCTTTCATCAGATGGTGAGATGAAAGTAACTCTTTCATCAGATGGTGAGATGAAGGTTGTTATTCATCAGATGGTGAGATGAAAGTACCTCTTTCATCAGATGGTGAGATGAAAGTAACTCTTTCATCAGATGGTGAGATGAAAGTACCTCTTTCATCAGATGGTGAGATGAAAGTACCTCTGTCATCAGATGGTGAGATGAAAGTACCTCTGTCATCACGTGCCTGGTGTCCTCCGATCCGCAGTTAGTTTTCCTGTCATCGCCAGTGTGGGGCACGGGCTCATTTTCCTCATGTACTTGCCCCCCTTCCCCCTCCTCCCTCTGCTGGTCAGGGCCAAGGCTTTCGACCTTGACCTGGTGGGCCTGGTGTCGTCAAGCCCTCAAGCCTTCAAGCCTTCAAGCCCTCAAGCCCTCAAGCCCTAGAGCCTTCAAGCCTTCAAGCCTTCAAGCCTTCAAGAATTCAAGCCTTCAAGCCCTCAAGCCCTCAAGCCCTCAAGCCCTCAAGCCCACAAGCCCTCAAGCCCTCAAGCCCTCAAGCCCTCACGCCCTCACGCCCTCAAGCCCTCAAGCCCTCACGCCCTCAAGCCCTCAAGCCTTCAAGCCTTCAAGCCCTCAAGCCCTCAAGCCTTCAAGCCTTCAAGCCCTCAAGCCCTCAAGCCTTCAAGCCTTCAAGCCCTCAAGCCTTCAAGCCTTCAAGCCTTCAAGCCCTCAAGCCCTCAAGCCCTCAAGCCTTCAAGCCCTCAAGCCCTCAAGCCCTCAAGCTCTCAAGCCCTCAAGCCTTCAAGCCTTCAAGCCTTCAAGCCTTCAAGCCTTTACGCCCTCAAGCCCTCAAGCCCTAAAGCCCTCAAGCCCTCAAGCCCTCAAGCCCTCAAGCCTTCAAGCCTTCAAGCCTTCAAGCCTTCAAGCCCTCAAGCCCTCAAGCCTTCAAGCCTTCAAGCCTTCAAGCCCTCAAGCCCTCAAGCCCTGAAGCCCTCAAGCATTCAAGCCTTCAAGCCTTCAAGCCTTCAAGCCCTCAACCCATCAAGCCTTCAAGCCCTCAAGCCCTCAAGCCCTCAAGCCCTTAAGCACTCAAGCCCTCAAGCCTTCAAGCCTTCAAGCCTTCAAGCCTTCAAGCCTTCAAGTCCTCAAGCCCTCAAGCCCTCAAGCCTTCAAGCCCTCAAGCCCTCAAGCCTTCAAGCCTTCAAGCCTTCAAGCCTTCAAGCCTTCAGGCCCTCAAGCCCGCAAGCCTTCAAGCCCTCAAGCCCTCAAGCCCTCAAGCCTTCAAGCCTTCAAGCCTTCAAGCCTTCAAGCCCTCAAGCCATCAAGCCTTCAAGCCCTCAAGCCCTCAAGCCCTAAAGCCCTCAAGCCCTTAAGCACTCAAGCCCTCAAGCCTTCAAGCCTTCAAGCCTTCAAGCCTTGAAGCCTTCAAGTCCTCAAGCCCTCAAGCCCTCAAGCCTTCAAGCCCTCAAGCCCTCAAGCCTTCAAGCCTTCAAGCCTTCAAGCCTTCAAGCCCTGAAGCCTTCAAGCCCTCAAGCCTTCAAGCCCTCAAGCCCTCAAGCCCTCAAGCCTTCAAGCCTTCAAGCCCTCAAGCCCTCAAGCCCTCAAGCCCTCAAGCCCTCAAGCCTTCAAGCCCTCAAGCCTTCAAGCCTTCAAGCCCTCAAGGCCCCATTCTCCCGCTTTCCATCACCCCGCCCCATTCTCCCGCTTTCCATCACCCCGCCCCATTCTCCCGCTTTCTATCACCCCGCTCCATTCTCCCGCTTTCCATCAACCCGCCCCATTCTCCCGCTTTCTATCACCCCGCCCCATTCTCCCTCTTTCCTTCACCCCGCCCCATTCTCCCGCTTCCCATCAACCCATCCCATTCTCCCTCTTCCCATGACCCCGCCCCATTCTCCCGCTTTCGATCACCCCACCCCATTCTCCCGCTTTTTATCACCCCGCCCCATTCTCCCGCTTTCCTTCACCCCGCCCCATTCCCCGGCTTCCCATCACCCTGCCCCATTCTCCCTCTTCCCATCACCCCGCCCCATTCTCCCGCTTTCCATCACCCCGCCCCATTCTCCCGCTTTCCATCACCGCGCCCCATTCTCCCCCATCACCCCACCCCATTCTCCTGCTTTCCATCACCCCGCCCCATTCTACCTCTTTCCATCACCCTGCCCCATTCTCCCGCTTTCCATCACCCCGCCCCATTCTCCCGCTTTCCATCACCCCGCCCCATTCTCCCTCTTTCCATCATCCCGACCCATTCTCTCGCTTTCCATCACCCCGCCCCATTCTCCCTCTTTCCAACACCCCGCCTTATTCTCCCTCTTTCCATCACCCCGCCCCATTCTCCCGCTTTCCATCACCCCGCCCCATTCTCCCGCTTTCTATCACCCCGCTCCATTCTCCCGCTTTCCATCACCTCGCCCTATTCTCCCGCTTTCCATTACCCCGCCCTATTCTCCCGCTTTCCATCAACCCGCCCATTCTCCTGCTTTCCATCACCCCGCCCCATTCTCCCGCTTTCCATCACCCCGCCCCATTCTCCCGCTTTCCATCACCCCGCCCCATTCTCCCTCTTTCCATCACCCCGCCCCATTCTCCCTCTTTCCTTCACCCCGCCCCATTCTCCCGCTTCCCATCACCCCGCCCTGTTCTCCCTCTTCCCATCACCCCGCCCCATTCTCCCGCTTTCGATCACCCCGCCCGATTCTCCCGCTTTCCATCACCCCGCCCTATTCTCCCGCTTTCCTTCACCCCGCCCCATTCCTCCGCTTCCCATCACCCCGGCCCATTCGCCCTCTTCCCATCACCCCGCCTCATTCTCCCGCTTTCCATCACCCCGCCCCATTCTCCTGCTTTCCATCACCCCGCCCCATTCTCCCTCTTTCCATCACCCCACCCCATTCTCCTGCTTTCCATCACCCCGCCCCATTCTCCCTCTTTCCATCACCCCGCCCCATTCTCCCGCTTTCCATCACCCCGCACCATTCTCCCTTTCCAACACCCCCCCTTATTCTCCCTCTTTCCATCACCCCGCCCCATTCTCCCGCTTTCCATCACCCCGCCCCATTCTCCCGCTTTCTATCACCCCGCTCCATACTCCCGCTTTCCATCACCCCGCCCCATTCTCCCTCTTTCCATCACCCCGCCCCATTCTCCCGCTTTCCATCACCCCGCACCATTCTCCCTTTCCAACACCCCGCCTTATTCTCCCTCTTTCCATCACCCCGCCCCATTCTCCCGCTTTCCATCACCCCGCCCCATTCTCCCGCTTTCTATCACCCCGCTCCATTCTCCCGCTTTCCATCACCTCGCCCCATTCTCCCGCTTTCCATTACCCCGCCCTATTCTCCCGCTTTCCATCAACCCGCCCATTCTCCTGCTTTCCATCACCCCGCCCCATTCTCCCGCTTTCCATCACCCTGACCCATTCTCCCGCTTTCCATCACCCCGCCCCATTCTCCCTCTTTCCATCACCCCGCCCCATTCTCCCTCTTTCCTTCACCCCGCCCCATTCTCCCGCTTCCCATCACCCCGCCCCGTTCTCCCTCTTCCCATCACCCCGCCCCATTCTCCCGCTTTCGATCACCCCGCCCAATTCTCCCGCTTTCCATCACCCCGCCCTATTCTCCCGCTTTCCTTCACCCCACCCCATTCCTCCGCTTCCCATCACCCCGGCCCATTCGCCCTCTTCCCATCACCCCGCCTCATTCTCCCGCTTTCCATCACCCCGCCCCATTCTCCTGCTTTCCATCACCCCGCCCCATTCTCCCTCTTTCCATCACCCCACCCCATTCTCCTGCTTTCCATCACCCCGCCCCATTCTCCCTCTTTCCATCACCCCGCCCCATTCTCCCGCTTTCCATCACCCCGCCCCATTCTCCCGCTTTCCATCACCCCTCCCCATTCTTCCGCTTTCCATCACCCCGCCCCATTCTCCCGCTTTCCATCACCCCGCCCCATTCTCCCGCTTTCCATCACCCCGCCCAATTCTCCCGCTTTCCATCACCCCGCCCCATTCTCCCACTTTCCATCACCCCGCCCCATTCTCCTGCTTTCCATCACCCCGCCCCATTCTCCCTCTTTCCATCACCCCACCCCATTCTCCTGCTTTCCATCACCCCGCCCCATTCTCCCTCTTTCCATCACCCCGCCCCATTCTCCCGCTTTCCATCACCCCGCCCCATTCTCCCGCTTTCCATCACCCCGCCCCATTCTCCCACTTTCCATCACCCCGCCCCATTCTCCCTCTTTCCATCACCCCGCCCCATTCTCCCGCTTTCCATCACCTCGCCCCATTCTCCCACTTTCCATCACCCCGCCCCATTCTCTCGCTTTCCATCACCCCGCCGCATTCTCCCGCTCTCAATCACCCCGCCCCATTTTCCCGCTCTCCATCACCTTGCCCCATTCTCCCGCTTTCCATCATCCCGGCCC